GCTCCTCAGGCCAAAGTTGAAGTTAATTTTTAGAAGGAGAGTAAAATTAGGAAACCACAAATTGGAGTATACGTGTGTGTTAAACTTTGAATTTATTACTGGTGGCAAATAGGACAATCTTCCTTTCAGTCAGCTGTGTAAGAATCTTCTGTAAAATTCCTGTTTTCAACTGATTTTAGTGGCTTCAAAGTTGTTTGTTTATTCCACTGAAAGATTACAGAAAGGACCCACCTCCTAGTTTTGTTTTCAAGCTTAGCCTCCTGAGTGGGAGCAGACACAATTTCGAGGTTTGTTTTTGTGAGTGCTGGTAACTTTGCAGTTTCTGTGATGAAATGTGCTTCCCCGATCTTCCCTTCTCCCCCCATCCACCCTCCATTCGTAACTAATGGCCAGAGAGAAGAGCAAGAGGGAGCAAGGGGTACCCAAAGTGTTGTATCCTGTTCTAATCACAGCCATGCTAGTCCTTTTTTATTTCAATTCATTTACTTTGCCTTTATGAACCTGAGAGACTGACTGTTGCTTTCAAAGAGGCTGACATTTCACTCATCTGAAGGAGCTTGGAATGTGACAGGGGAAAGGGAGGAGAAGTAAATCAAAGCAGATAGCAATTCTCCAGATGTAAAGTATTTTTCTTCTCTATTTTTTTTCCACTAGAAATGTCAGAAAGTCTGCTGACATTTTAATTCCTTTGTGATAGGCTGGGAGCTGAGAGCCAAATCCTGCTGCCACTGCAGTCAAAAACATTTTTCCTATCGACTTTAAAGGGAGCAAACCAGTCTTACACTCTGAAAAAAAAAGCTCCAAATAAGCAAAATATCAACAAACTGTAACTAAAACTAAATTAAATGTACTCTTATAATATCTTTAGATCAGTTATAGACTGAAACTGTCAAGCCTTGTCGGACTTTTGTTTTTCAATTTGACCATAGCATAACAAAAACAGTTAGTAAGACTGACTGGATTGGAAGTAAGACTTTGCTGTCGTTGTGGGTTTTTTAATAAATCTGAATTCTGTTGAAAGTGTTGCAGTACTATTCCATGCCCTCTTCTAGTCACCTAAGTTTCAAGACACCCTGTCTGCAACTTTCAAGATTAAACTTAAACACTAGTTGATTTACTTAACTTGTGCATGTCTTTGAAAACTCTATTAAATACCGTGATACTCCTTTTAGGGATATGTTTGGCAAAAAAAAAAATCTTATTATCTTCAGTAGGAATACACTCAGGTCCATAAAATAAAGGAGTATCTTCTATACTGATTACATTAGTTGTACATTGGTATAACTGCAACGAGCTCACCATGCATTTAGCAAAACAGCAGAGCTGGCTCAGAGCAGCAGCACAGTGCTGAGAGTTAGGTTTACAAATTCCACCTACATCATGAACGATCATATATTTCCTTCTCTGCATGGTGTGCTTAGAGATTTACTTCATGGTTTTAGAATAATAAATTTATTTTTCTTTACAGAGTTGTTCCCTTATGAAGTATTCATTTGTAAAGCATTAATTTTGTATACCAGACTGCCAAAAACCAATGGAGTAGACATATTTGCTTAATAGTTTTATTCTTTTTTGCAGATTCTATAATCATATTTCATCAACTGGTACAACAAAACATATTTCTATATAAAAACCAAAACAAAGAGGGCTTGTTGAGCTTGATGCATGGTAAATCTATTTGGTTTATTCTTTTTTTATTGTTAAATATTATATTGCATTTGTTTAAGCAGACATTGTGTATATTGTGATTTCTAGCATTCAACACACAGCAGCTTATTGTTATGTCCATTAAATATGAGAAATAAAAATGTTTTCAATTTGCTATTAAAAAAAAAAAAAAAAGGAAATTAAGAAAAGGTACTGCTATATTACATGGCCCAGGAAATATTGGCAGCATGCTCTTTGGCTTTCATCCGTAGAACTGCAATGCTGGAGGACCTCCTTTCAAACTCCGGCTTGGTTTCAAAAGCGTGTCCATTGGTTGCCCCAGAAAGTAAAGAGTCAGTGAAAAAATTATTGAGGGGCACGTGGCTGAACTGATTCTGGTGGTTTGAAAAGCCTGTGTAGCCAGAATCTGTCCGGGGTGAATGGGAATAAGGTGTCATACAGGAGGACGTATCTCGTGGCAGCATGCAGGACGTAACCACAGAACCGCTAGCCGCATTCCCTGCCCACAGATTGTTCTGAATCTGAAACATATAAAATGAATAGGAATAAATTTAGATAGTTCATCTTTTGTTTTCTGCAATGCTTGGTTTGCTTTACTTAACACATCCATTATTAGTTCTCCTCTAAAACAAGCAACAAGTACTTAACTACTTCTCTGAAGTCATATTAAAAAAATACCAGGAAGACATTACATGGGTCAAAATACTGGATAATTCACTCAAGAGCAAGGGCTGCTGAATCGTATTCCTTGCTCTGTCATCCATTTGCTCTGTGGCCCTGTCCTGAGTGTTTCCCATTGAACCTCAGGATGCCATCAGCCCAGCCAGTCAGTAAAGTTAGCAGAAGCCCACAACTGACTTCAAAGCGAAGGTGTCAAAGGAGTGTACAATATCATACCTCTTCTCACCATAAAAGCTTCTCCTGATCGTAATTTTTCTTAGTGTAATGGTAGGAAACAGTATTAAATGGTGAACAAAACAAACCAGGATTTCTCAAGTGACAAAGACCAACATGTATTTGCAAAATTAATATTGAGAAGCCTTGCATGATTACTTTAAAGTAAATGAATCCATAAAATACAGGCATGGTTGATAATAAATCCAAGAGTTTTTCCTAAAGTTGTTTCAAAGATGGTTTTAAGATAAAAATCCTTTTCATGATGTTTTAATAGAAATTATACTTGAGGGCATTTATGTTTAAGCTCCCAGCCTTAGCTGGCTGCACTGTGCATCACTGGAAAATGTTGTATGACAGACTAGGAGACAAACTTTGTGGTTACCAGCAATGTCCGCTGAAGATCTGGAGTAACCACATATTCAGGTTTTGATATGTAATTCCTTTTATACTTGACAGTCACTTAAAGCTTCATTCTGAGTCTCAGGCCTTCTCCTATCATCGATGTGTAGATGCCCCTTATTGATAAGTATTTTTCACTTAGTTGTTACTAGATGAACAGACAGAAATATTTTCAAGGCCTAGCACAAGTCAGCTTCTGTCGTTATCTCAGACTGTGCATTCTTTCATTCCTCTATTCACTTTGCTTTAATTGAACTTCATACTCAGCAGCTCTCCTGTCTTTTCAAACTCTCTGCTCTTTATATCTCTATATCAGTACTATATGGATATAATTTTTGACATACTCTGACTTCCTTAGACATTTCTCACTTGCACTCACCATTATACAATATACAGCTTTATATTTCTTCTCCACTTTTATTTATATCTCTTTACCAAATGTTGATTTAAAAAAAAAATTACAAATATCATGATACAAGATATTTGTAGCTCTCATTCACAGTACAGAACTTCTCAGACAGTAACTGTATCTTATTCTTTTTATTTCACTTTGCTAAATTTGTCTTAATCCTGAAAATCTGTTGTCTATTCAGTATATCATTGCTCTCATGCACTGGGATTTGAGCCCGCATGTCTTCATTCTCTGCTGTACATTGGAGTAAGCACAATTACTCTTCAGTTAGCACTGTAAAATGAATTCCCACTTCAAACTTAATTTTGCCTTCATGTTCCAAATCCATAGACAAAAGAATCTGGGCTTTAAGATATGTAGGTTATCTCTCTAGCTGAGTGATATTTTTTTGCCAAATTTGAGGTCAGTGGAAGTAATGAATTACAACAGACACACACATACACACACATGGAATGAAAACATGTTTCTAATGCTCAGTTATTCTTTTCCCGTTGTCTTATTACTTTGCAACAACACATACCCATTAAACCACCAACAAGCTAAAGAGATAAATTATAGTTCACTAGCTGAGATCTAGTGCAGATAGCAAAGATAAGATAAAGTCTTATTTTAAAAGTTATTGTTTTGAAGAGTTATATTATTAGCAAGGGTCATCTCAATCTGGCAAACTAATTTGGTGTCCTTGGAAATTCCAGCAGCAAAAAAGAACCAGTAAATGTTATAGAATCATAGAACTGTTAGGGTTGGAAGGGACCTTTAAGATCATCGAGTTCCAAGCCCCCTGCCATGGGCAGGGACACCTCCCACTAGACCAGGTTGCTCAAAGCCTCATCCAGTCTGGGCTTGAACACCTCCAGGGACGGGGCATCCACAGCTTCCCTGGGCAACCTGTTCCAGTGCCTCACCACCCTCACAGTAAAAAAACTTCCTCCTAATATCCAATCTAAATCCGCCCTCTTTCAGCTTAAAACTACTACCCTTCGTCCTATCACTCTGATAAAGAGTGCCTCCCCATCTCTCCTGTGGGCCCCGTTTAAGTACTGGAAGGTTGCTATAAGGTCTCCCCAGAGCCTTCTCTTGTTGAGGCTGAACAGCCTGAACTCTCTCAGCCTGTCCTCATATGAGTGGTGCTCCAGCCCTCTGATCGTCTTCATGGTCCTCCTCTAGGCTCACTCCAAAAGGTCCATGTCTTTCTTGTGTTAGGGGCCCCAGAGCTGGATGTAGTACTCCAGGTGGGGTCTCGTGAGAGCAGAGTAGAGGGGGAGAATCACCTCCCTCAACCTTCTGGCCAAGCTTCCTTTGATGCAGCCCAGGACACAGTTGTCTTTCTGGGCTTCAAGTACGCATCGCGGGCTCACGTTGAGCTCCTTCATCTACCATGTGATTAGAGTACAGAAGAGCAGTAAAAAAGATAGCAGCTGAAAGCCTGTAAGATCCAGAGAATATCTCCACTTTGCTTGAAAGCCCAAGCTGTACATGTTCTGTCTCAATCACGAACTAGGAAAATCAGAAGTCATCCATACAAAAATCATTGTCTTTTTTTTTTTTTTTCAGGAACACTAGAAACTTTTAATTGTACTTTATTGTACTTCGTGGTTACATGTATGTTTCTTCCAGCAGCAGTGACAGATTAAGCAACTGTTGAGGTTTTCTTTCCCTTTCTTCCTACAAAACAAGTTATCCACTCCTATTTCCACTCTGTTCCATTTCAGTGTGCTTTGCTGGTACAACTCTTTATTGAATTGAAATAGGGAGTTGATACAACTAAAAAAGAATCCAAGAAAAAAAAAAAGTATATTTCAAACACGTGCACACAGAACCCCATTCTTTTTGGTGGTATTTCCAGGCCAAATGGTTAGTCTCAGAACCTTCACAACAGGATGAATTTGCCCAGGGAGAGACTAGTTCATCTATGCAGCATCTAATACAGGAGCAAATCCTGAAGGAGCTCTTCATCTCCAAAGCTAACTCACATGCAACAAAGTCACATTTATCTGATTTACTCAGATTTCTTTCTAAGAAATGCTATGTCAAATGCTGCAGTCACCCAGGCTGTACAGATATAGTTATGGGAAGAATTTTCACCAAAAATCTGCTTAAATAAGAACTTGCACGAGTTTGCCTTCAGTACAGTCATGATGGGAAGACTTCAAAAGGTTCAGAGGCTCAGTTTCAAAGTGCCCAATAACCTATGTGGTCTGGAGGTATCGCAAAATCAATCTTTCCTTACATATTTCTAGTAGTTTGGTTTTCAGTAACTAAGTTTAGTACCACTAATTTTCCTGATATTTTTATCCTAGGCAAATGTCTTTCAATTTAACTTCAGTGAGATTGCACAGGTGTAAATGAGAACAGAATTCAGCAGCAAATCCTAAAACATACCAATGTCTTGTTAAAGAAATATGTGAACAAGCTATTAATTTCTAAAACTTTCAAAGAGGTGTCCTAGGTTTCTTCCTTAGAGGAAGGAATCCAAACTAGTAAACCTAACTTCAGAAATGCCACAAGATGCTAGGAAAGCTTTACATCTTCTCTTATGAGACAGTTATACTTTTCAAAAGAATATTTCAGTCATATCAATTTTCTATTAATTGTAGTTGGTTGAGTGACTTCACTTTTGATATTAGATTTTCATTTCTTAGCAAGAATTTACAACATAAATATCTTCCAGTGAAATCTAGGTGCAGAAGGTATTCCTGTACTAAAAATAAATATAGTAATGTTTTACAATAAGTCAAAATTATCAGACCTTCTTCTGGTATGTTGGAAGGAAAAGAGACATTATGTACATGAATTTAAAGAAAATATTTTTCCTCTTAAACTCTTGTGTGATCCATGAACTATATAAAAGGCAATTCAGAGACTGTGAATGAGGCTATACATACAGCACATCTCTGGTTTCTGTTAACATCACAAACAACTTGAGCTTTGCTCTTGTGGTTACCATGAAATTACCAGAGCCCTTCAATATATTTACCTACTGTATGTTTTATACACACACATGCCCCCACACACACCCCCTTCCCAATAGAAAAAAAAAAAAAAAAAAAGAAGTAGGATTTCATAGCTGCGACAAGAACATAACTGGAGAGTTATGGCTGCTAACTTGGTTATGATATAATTTCCTAAGTATATGACCTTCTGCCTGACACTGCAGCGGCAAATTAGCTGAGGTAATTGATCATCCCACTTGGTGTCATTGCTTTTTTTATGTTAAAATTTCAAGCTGCTGGAGCTTCAGCCTTCTTACACAGCACCTGGAGAAACCACATAAATTCAAATCTCCACATTTTCTGAGAGTTTTACTGTCACTTACCCAGCTTTGGTTCTCCCATCACCAAATGTCTTGTCATTTTATTTGAGTTACCTGCCTATCCAGTCTGGAGTCTGTTTCCAACAGATGCACATATGAACACACACAGCTTCTATTTGAGTGGACATTTGTTTTAGTGCTTCATGTGGGAAACAAAATGTTAATCTCTTTTAAGGTCTCTAGATATGAAGTAATAAGTTGTTATTATTATTGTTTTTGTTATATTACATAATATATATTATGTTATATGTTATTATAATTACTCTAGTAAGTAATTCAAGGCACTAACTGAACAGTTAAGAAATTACCTAATTATAGAAAACATGTGAATGTCAAAGAGACTGACTTGCTACATTTTTGTCACTCCTCTCTTTGTGTGAAACAATACTTGCACTACCACAAAACATGAAACCTGGGCTTGCACAAGGAGCTACATTAGGCAGATTAAATGCAACAGTTGTTAAACTGCTCAAAACTGCTAGTTCGCAGCTTGTGATCTG